ATGACATATCTGTTATATCATTGTTCTTAAAATAAACTATCTAATAATAAGTGTTCCTCCACAGTATGCCACCAAACAGATGCTTGAAAGAACAGCAGCAATTCAAATGAAAACAAAATAGAAACCCTAAAAGGTCACATCACTTTCTGATATTTTAGGTGTCAAAATTCAACTGAGCATAAATATTGAAACTTCAATGTGTCAGTTGTTAGAAAAACTCCCAGAACCTGCAAAACTAAGTCACTTAACAATTTCTAACTGTACAGTGAACTACAGTATGCATCAAAGAAGTGTACTGAATATTATTATTACATTTGAACTGACTTTCATCTAGGGTATACAAATTCATTGTGAAAAAAACCCCAGCAATTAAAAATAAAATATCAATTTAAAAATAGCTTTTTAAAGTATATAGTTCCTTAAAAATCCCTAAGCTACAACTGTGCACCACTGAGGTATCTGCGGGCACTGCAGCCAACATGTGGGGCTCCAGCTGCAGACTGGGCTTCTCGGGTGCCACTGCAATTTCCCATCAAACATTTACATCTTCTGCCCTCTCCCCTCTAAATTCACAAAATCTGTTTTTGCCTTATGGTCTGCTCTAAAATAACACATCCTTTCTCTTTTTGCTATGCTGACCTCTCAGAAGGATGAATGAGTTCAGGTGCAGCTGCACAGCAGAGTGAGGGCAGTATATCTTACTGCCTCGTGCAGGCTCAGCCCTTCGGATGTTGGCTTTACGATCTAGTTAATAAAATATTTAAACACCTCATTTTTATGCCCACAGGGAGCGTGATTATAACCACAGGCATAAAGTGTTACTTGGCCAGCACAAAACAGTGACAGATGAGTGGGTCCACATGCAGAGTGTCTTTCCCAGATGTGCTCCAGGGGCTGGCTGGAGAGAACGCCTGCGCCGGCAGGCAGGACAGGCAGCTGTGCACAGGCAGCAGGCAGCTGGGATTTGTCCTGTGGGACATTGGGACTGATGCCTGAGACTGAGCATCTGCCATCAGTGTTCAAGGCTTTAACAACCCAAACAAGACCAGTGCTGCTGGGGACAGGACATTGCACTGAGTTCTCGACTCTGTTTTTTCACACACACAATAATACCCTAATTATTTCCTCCTATTAGTCCTAACATGTTGAAATCCATCTTACGTCATGGTAGAATTAGTCTTCACTCACTCTGTTAGATTTTCATTTCTTGTTTGGAAGTATAACCCACTTAGTCTCAAGCTAGCAGAGCTTTTCAGTGTCCTGGTAATATGAACCTCAGAAAACACAAAACGTAAGGGACAGCTGGGATATCATACTTGCCAGGTTTGCACTTGAAATAAACACAGTCACAGATTTCTGAAGAGGGGGCAAATATAAATGACAGCAGACTACCTCAAGACACCAAGCTCATTTTCAATTTCTTCCCTGTTCCGAAAGATTACACAGCTACAGGATCAAAAACTAAACCCAGTGATCAGAAGCAGGAGCACCTCAGTCTCCCTGTTGCACTGACCAGGCGGGCACTGTGGATTTGCTGCAGCCTCCAGGCATTGCCTGTGCCTGAAGCAGCCTCTGCTCTGAGATGTAGGCAGGTTGGGGAGCTCAGAGTGCCGAAACTTCAGCTTTAATGTACACAGATATAATCGCAAACCTTTTACATGAGTACCATTTGAGCTAACCCATTAGCCTTGCCTAAATTAGTCTGGCTGTTTATAAGATATTAAATGCACTACAAAGCCTAACATGTTTGTTATGCTCTATAATCAGAGCACCTGTTTAAAAGCCCACTGCAGTTGTACTTCCAGTGGATTACAGGCCATTAGGCAAGTTATGCAGTACCTTATTTTTATCACCTAATCTCTCTTCCTCTTTCACATTTGAATTTTAGAACCATAGAAATGAGATTCTTTCCCCTCCATACACCTTCTCCAAGTCCTTTAGTGATTGAGATGAGGAGAGTAATATTAATATTTATACAATGCTCAGATCTAACTTTCTGTTGCTATGGCAAAATACTGTCATAAAAGATTTCATTAACTTTTAATCCTATTTAACACCATTTGTCCCTCTTGAGACTATACTGAAACTTTGGATACTCATGGGACAAAATTTTGGTAAGAGATAGAATCATAGAATCACAGAAAAGAACTTTAAGATCAGAAAAGAACTTTAAACAGGTTTTTCCAGCCTGTTTAGGTTGGAAAAGACCTTTAAGATCACCAAGTCTAACCCTTAACCAGGCGCTGCCAAGCCCACCAGTAAACCATATCTCCAGGTGCCACATCTACGTGTCTTTTAAATACCTCCAGGGATGGTGACTCTGCTTTGGGCAGCCTTGGGCACTTACAATGCTTGACAATCCTTTCACTAACAAAATTTTTCCTAATATCCAACTTAAACCTCCCCTGGCACAACTTGAGGCCATTTCCTCTCATCCTATCACTTGTTGCTTGGGAGAAGAGACTGACTCCCATCCTGCTCCAGCCTCATTTCAGGTAGTTGTAGAGAGTGATAAGGTCCCCCTTGAGCCTCCTTTTCTCCAGGATAAACATCCCCAGGTCCCTCAGCTGCCCGTCACAAGATTTGTGTTCCAGACCCTTCATCAACTTCCCTTCTTTGGACACACTTCAGCCCCTCAAAGTCTTTCTTGTAGTGAGAGGCCCAAAACTGAACACAGATGCTAAAATATTTGTAGTTTTGCTTGAATTATTAGAAAACTGAATAGAAAAAAACCTTGGATTGGAAGGAGTTTCCCAAATGTGTTTACAGTGCTGCTGTAGCATGCATTAAGTGATGCATCACCTATTTGAGGGATCACAGGAGAGATCTGCACTCCCCTGGGGAGGCAGCAGGAGGGCAAGAGTGGTGATGTGTCTGAGGGGCCTCACTGTGCCACTGCTCAAGGATCAGACCCTCCCTCCAGCTGTTTTTTTCTTTTCAAGAGCTTTAAAAATACAGCATTTCATATAGAGAATTCCTATAACCTTCATTTAGTCACACTTAGTATTTTCCTTATACATAAATAAAAGTTGATATCAAACAGAATATTTTAAGATAAAATAATAATAAAACAATTACCTCCAGCTCAGTATGGCCCATGAGAGAACAGAAAAGACACATCACCCTCACTGACATGGGATAAGATTATGATGCACGTGTTGACTTGTCACTAAAATAGCTTCTCCCATCTCAGAGGTTGCTTTTTAAAAGACTTATATAAATTACAGCAATAGTGACAGGTTAAGATTGTTTTCTTTATCAGAGTTGCAATCCATTTCTACAACTGACACTTGTTTTAGTGCATCGGCATGGAGTAGCTCTTTGTGAAGCAAAATATTACAGTCACAGAACATCATAATCCGAGTAAAAAATAATGTCATTATAAGTACTGTGTAGGCCCAGTCAGGGCTATTTGTGTGATCCCTTCCAGGCAGAAGAGTCAACATAAGGCAGGTTAAGCATTCTAATTTTCTCAAACTAAAAGCTCAGTGTGCAGTTGGTGCATTCTCTTGTAACAGCTCTCTAGGTAAATGCCCACAGTTACAGACAGTAACCAGCTTTATAAGGCATCAAAAAGAAGCAGTCAGCCTTAAAACCATGATTTTTTCAAAAAGTATATCTCTACACTTTCATTCTCCTTAAAAGTCTGAAAAAACATATTAATCAGACAGCAGTGTGCCCACTTAGGATGCTTTGATCAGGAGCTATGTAGGATTTCCCAACAAATGAGCCCAAAGGCAACCTCAAAATCACCAGAATACTCTTATTCACCTTCTTCAGGAAATCTTGTGATCTAGGCCAAAGTTTATAAATAATTACATTATCAGTAACATTTTTAGTTTGTTTCATTGTATTTTATTCTGGTTTTAAAAGACAAATAAAACCAAACTAGACTTAACTTTTTTTTTTTCTTTATAGGTCTGAGAGGTGTTACAGTGGTACCTAGAGGCCTTTCTCAGGTCTAATCATTCCTGCACATTCACTGCAGTGCTGAACTTTGAAGCCAGTCTTCCAGACCAGGAAAAATGGTATCAGAAGTCACACTTTAGGTTACAGACCACGAGCATTTGAAGGCAAAAAGACCAATCCCTTCTTGGTATGTGCCAGGACGACAACTAACTAGACTCCGTTTTAATTCAGTGCTTATCTGCATGAACACAGATGTCTATTGATCTATTGATACATGTCTATCCATTACAATAAGTTTTAGTACTTGCTGCTGGAATTGGGTACGTTATCCTTTTTATGCTAGTGATAGAGATTTAAATTTTGGTTTTGATGGAAAAGAGTAGCTATGAGAATCATCAATTCTCTAACCTTGCTGTGATCTCCTCAGAAAACTAAGGAGAGTAGACTTTTAATTCCTTCTTTACCATGTTTTCAGGAAGATAAATGTAAACATCCCCCTTTAATTAGCTCTCTTTCTTATTTTTGATATTTTCAGCAATCTTTCTGAGTATTATGCAAATTTCTGCTGAATGAGACACTCTACAAATAATCCAATTACAATACATTAACTATTTATTATGTTAGAATTTGAATTTATTATGTCCTGCTTGGCAACTGCTTCAATACTATGTAAATAGAAACAAAACCAACCAAACCCAAACTCAATCACTCCATTTTTTTAGGTAACAGAACAATTATTAAGTGATAATAAAAGTTAGTTATAATATAAATGCACAACACAATACTCATTAAGATAATTATTTGTCTATGTAAGAGTGAAAACAACATCACTGATTTATTCCTGTTGCATGTAAGCCAAAGGAAGGCCTCAGGTTCATGAGGAAAATTAGATTTCCCTGTCCCATTTAATGATTTTGGTGGCTGTGTGCTACCTTTCCTGGGTCAGGGTGTAGAAAGAGGGATGAGAGGAGCAAATGAGAGCTTGTGTGGTGCAGGAAGGGTTCAGATGTTATATGACTTCATTTTTATCCTTTTTTTTTTTTAATAAACCTTGCTAGCACATATTACTGAATACAGCATACCAGGACCGACCTTAAATCCCCCTTTAAAAGAACATAGTATTTTTTCCTCACTCATCACTGTCATACAATAGATTTCACTGCAATTTACCTCTTCAGACAAGAATTCTCTGACAAACGGCCGAATTAACGTTTCCTGGAACACATTTGGCTGATACATCTCACCTGGGTACGCCCTGACTCCAGTCACGGTGCATTCACCGCTCTGAGGAGAGGCTGCCCGGCACTGCCCTTCTCAGCCACGGCGCACGTTTCCAAAGCACTCAGCTTCGCTTCTTCCTAATTTTCAAATCACTTTGTGATTAAAAGCGAAGGAAAGGAAATAATTCCATCACAATAAGACAGCCCAGAGTGGACTCATCCTCCAAACTATCAATAAGGGAATGACCGGGCAACCACTGCCCCAGGCGCCATCTTGTTGGGCAGGTGAGCGGTGAGTGAGCGCTCTGTGGGGTCCCTCGAGGGGGGCCTGGGGGCTAAAATATCCCCATCTGCAGAGGGTCCCTGTTAAAGCATCCCATTTTTGTTGTACTTTTTGGGGCTGTCGCTCTGTGGAGGATCCCTAGAGAACCTGCCTGTCCTCGCGGCGCTGGGCGCTGTGCCAGGGAAAGGGAGGGGTCCCCTCAGGAGCTGCCGAGGGGGGGCTCGCGCCAGGCCTGCCAGCAGGAACACTGGCATCTCCCTTCTTTTCTCACTCTTGCAACAATATCATAACTGGTTTGGTAGGTCAAATGTGAGTCCACCTTCTGTGAAAATATTCCACCAAAGTTCCCTGGAGGTAGCCTAGTTTTTTAAAGGTTTTGTGAGTTTGTTGTTCTTACCAATACTATTTACATAAATGTTGCTGTTATACTTCTAACGTCACGTTTCATATCTTGCACGCCATTTAACTAGCAATTATAGAATCTCAGTTTATCTCTTTTCCAAATGCTTGTGTTGCTCACTAAAAAGTTATCTCTGTACTCCTCTGCCCAACCCTCTGAACCCGTGTCAGGCATGAAGCCCATGGAAATGATGCAGTTTTGTGTAAAATGGCAATAAACTGCAGTGCTAGCTTTCAGTCAGGTTCCCTGTATGGACAGTGCACACGGTATTGGCTAGATCCTGTTCCACAGCATCCATCACCAAGCCTAAGCTCATGTTTCTTTTATTTTTGGTGTCCTCTCTAGAGGTTAGGTCATTGCAATGTTTACTGGGGAGCCCCTCCTGACTGGAAAGGTTAGCCTGGCATTACATTATGTGGCTATCATTAAAATTCCTGTGTGGAGTCAAGTCACAAGAAATGTAAGCAGGAAAGTGAAATCTTGACAAGCTTAATGGTCATCTGAAGCTACTGTGATTTATTAGTTTGTCCCCTGAAATAAAAGTTTTAAGTTGATTGTGCTATTCAATAACAGACCAAGTGACATAATCTGTCTCAAATTTACTCAAGTGGCAGCCAGAGCAGGACCTTCCTAAGACCCTGTATACGTGCTGTCTCCTGAGTGCTGTGGGGAAGAGCTTTGGACCAATGTTTTCTGGTCTCAGAAATGCAAGGCAATACCTGTCTGCACAGGACAAGCTGGAGCCAGTGCATGGCTTTGGCTGAGGGGGCTCTCTGTAATTATGTAGTCAGGCTCAGCAAATACTAAGGAGCTTTGATACAAAGTAAAAGGAGTGGGGGTTTTGCCAACAAAGGAAACAAAAACCAAATACAAATTTTTGGAAATTTTGAGCCTACCTTATTCCAGAGTTATCTGTAAATGGACCTTAATTTGGTGCTACTTTTATTTGAGTTATTTTATTTTAGCCTACAGAAAGAGTGTGGAGATTATTCCATACTCTGATCGCGATTTGCAGTTTGGGGTTTGTTTTGTGAACATAACTAAGTGATATTTCTGTTCTTTGAGTGGATGAGTACCTAATTAAAACTTTTCAGGAAATACTTGTGAACACTTCATGTGTATTGCATATTCATCAGAGTATCCACCACTATATATTTGCATGCATATTCATTAAGTTATCTTTACTTACAAATTGTTCAGAAATAATTGATTGCTTCACTATTCCTTTAAAGATAAAATTCATCAAATGGGATATGGATTCACTTATCCACTTACATACATTTTAAAAATAAATTAAGAAATGTACTAGAGATGCCCCTGACACATGTATGTCTCATGTTTAAGTCTGGTTGATGGGCTGATTTCAACATGTCCTTTGCAGCATTGCTAAGCATTCTAGTCAATTCACTTACTTACTATTCTGATTTTATTTCATTATTTTTCATGTAACACAGTAAATAGTTATTATTCCTTGCATTACCATTGTCTGACTCTTGTGGGTTGTTGTCATGCTTTCTCTTGGTAATTGCTTTGTTTGGTCTTGGAGAATTGCATGCTGTGGTTCTTTCACTGTTTTATTATGTAAACTTTATTTTTTTTGTTGCTAAACTCCATTTTGTAACTTTCTGGAAATGGATTGTTCTAAAATGAAAACAAGATTTCACCATGGCATTTCCATATCCTTGCATTGTCTCTTCTATACCCTAAGAGGTGTATAAACCTTTTGGGTTTTTTTTTTCTGGCTATATCATTAATTCATGTCTGCATATATTATTCCTTCCTATCTTTCAATATCACATCTTGGATTTTATCTTTCAGTTGCTTTCCTCTTAAGCTTTGTTTGCATTCTTTGATGTTCTTCCTTTAATTATTTTCTGAAAATTTTAATCTTGTCTCCACACTATGTGTTGTCTCTACTCTTGTGGTGTTCAGAATTTTTAATTTAGCACCACCTGCGAATTGCACTGGTGCACTGAGAGGTTTATGTTTGTTATATAATGCTGTTATGAGAGGTTTTTACTTTAGGTGAGTAGTGGATTTAGGTTTTTGTTTGAAACTATATTTCAGTGGAGTCACCATAGCTGGACTCTGGCAGCTGTAATATAATACCTTATTCTGACCACAAAAATCTAGTGCTGAACCGAGCTAGGAGTAGAGTTTCAGCTTGGGAGTTTACTTTTTTGCATGGATGTAAAGAATGGGGTGAGTCCCTCATCCCATGCAGATTAGGGAATGCAGATGAATGGCTATACATGTCACATGGATTTTAACAGGAAGCCTCTGAGACTGGTAATTTCACCTAAACTGGTTGTTGTTCCCTTTAGCTGACCTCATTAAGTGTCTCAAAGGTTCCTGACTTCATGATGGCAGCTGGATTGCTGAATTTGGAAGAAAAAAAAACCAAAAAGGCCTAATGACGATTTGGTCACTCCGAAATCAGGCTGATATACAAACCCAGTCATTCCATGTCTGTGATCACAGTGCTGGTACCAGATTTTCCAGCTAATAAGACCCATGTGCTGGGCTCCATGACAAAGGAGAGGGAATGTAAGTCTTCACACCCTTCACCTTCAGACCAAGGTGAAAGAAATGGTTTGAATCTCCCATATCTCCCATCTATCAAGGACCACCTGCATTTGGCATTGCTTCCATGGGGTTTTGTGGCTGTTCCTCAGGAATTGGTAACACTTACAGGAGAATTTACTGTATGCTCCCAGTTCAGCTGTCCTCCCCTCTTGCAAAGGGATACTGTAAGGTCAGTGCAAAGGAAATGACCTCTAAACAGTAATGTCCATTGCCTCAATGATAGTTGGATTCCTCTCTGAATGATAGGAACTTTAATTCCCTCATGGGGTTTGGGTCCTGAATGGCAAGTAGAAATGTGGAATTTGGAAATCTGCTTTTTTGGTTTGTGAATTCTATTTTGCATTTGTTTACTGGGGAAAAGTGTTAAAGACTGGCCATTAAAGATGTCGAGGTAGAATGCAATGTTAGCCATGAGTAACTGAACCAGCCTGAAACTCAAAAGCTGAATGTCAGATAGCAGTTTTCAGGATTTTTCGGTATTATTTTACCTGTCAGTCTATTTCATTTAAAAATCCTAAAAAAAGCTGTCCTGTCATTGAAAACCAGAATAGTGAAGATTAAGACAGTTTAAGGCTTTAATTGAAAAAAATAAAACCAGTGAAAACATGACTCCACACACTGCTCTTCATAGGAACAAAAAAAAAGGCAACACAAATTGTTCCTTATTAAAAATTCTTACCACTGCGTTTAAGCTAATTCCATTTGATACTGTATAGCTCAGAAAGTATTTTTGAGACTGTCAGACTTGAAGATGTGAGTGAAGTCATGCTGACAGTGATTTGAAATTTCTACTCTGGCATTTCGAATTTGATTAAAGGTTTGAGCTTTTAAAGCTAAAGTGCATGTTTTATATAACGCAGTAGGAGCCCCATTGTCAAATGGTCTGAGGAGCTGTGAATCAACAGCTATCATCAAAATAGCACAAATCCTCCAGCAAGATCTCCTGAAAGACTATGGGGTGTTATTATAGCACCTAGTGGAGTATAACATGTTATTTATTCTACAGGCATTTTTCCTACAGCCATCACTCTCTTTTGTAACAAAGGCTCTGTCTGAAGGAAGCACACGCAGCTTCTCTAGGGCATATCAGTCCTGGTCAAAGAAAGTTCTTCAGCATTTCTTGTGCAAAGTAAGAGCAGGGACAAATTCATGCTATCATCATACCTCAGTAGCTTGCACACACTATTTTTTGATATATGTGTGATATCAGGTACTGATACAGGAATGCAGTCGTTATCATGGGACTCCTATTATGGTTTTGGGGATAGTTTGCCCTTTTAGTACTGATGAGGGGACACAGGTTTCAATCTTACACTAAAAGGGGGTGTTAAGAAAGGGGGGGAAAGGTGCCTAAATGCCCCACACATCCACATGGTCTGGTAAGACAGGCTGAGGGCTAGAAAGCATGATCCAGTTCTGGCTGGGGTCTATTTTATTATTAATTCAAAAAGAAGGGTGAAACACAGCAGTGTCATGAAGCTGTATTTTCTTAGTCTGTTATTTGGCCCGTACAAGAAAGCGGAAAATGGGTGAGAATTTGACATCTTTCCTTCCGTTTCCAATAAAGCCAAAACAAACCTGCTGACACTTAGAAGCTGAGGTTGATTCTTCTGAGCTGTAATGAGTGGGTACTCGGGAACCTCCTCCTTGGTGGCACCCCTATTTAAAGTTCCTTGTCTTTTGAAGAAAGTTGATAGCCAAAGTTAACATGACAGGCACATCTCATGCCCAGCAAACAAAACAAATCACAAAGCAATCTTTTTGTGGGTTTTCTTCGTTTTTGCTTTCTAGCGCTCTTCAGCAGTCTAGGTAATTAGGAAATATTTCCTGCTTTGTCAGTTCAGATTTATTTGTTCTCTGCTTGTATCCCCCACATGGCTGGAATACAAATCATTTGCTGGAAAAAATGAGAAGTGATGAAGAAGAGGGTGATTAATGACCTAACATTCTATTTTAGCAGATAAAACAAGAAAGGTTTCACTCAGTTTGCCTCCAGATAACATTTTGTATTCATTTTGCAACA